CTCCTGCGAGTCGCTTGGACTGCAAGGCATTCAAACTAGTCAGTCCTAGAAGAGATCAACCCCGACTGCTCTTTAGAAGGCCAGATCCTGAAGTTGAAACTCAAATACTTTGGCCACCTAATGAGAAGGAAGGACTCACCGGAGAAAGGCCTAATGCTGGGAAAGATTGAGGGCAATAGAAGAAGGGGACGACAGAGAATGAGATGGCTGGATGGAGTCACTGAAGCAGTAGGTGTGAACTTAAATGGACTCCAGAAGATGGAAGAGGACAGGAAGACCTGGAGGAACGTTGTCCATGGGGTCGCGATGGGTCGGACACGACTTCGGAATTAACAACAACAACAATAAACTTGATGAGAATTCTAGAATAAAAGCTCTGTGCGCAGTCATTGCACTAAAGAAATTCCAACTTGAAAAAGAGAGAGATGGGGATATATTTTTCCTCCAGTTATCTAATTTGTATATTAACCCTCTTGTGTCCAAAACAACTAATTTAGAGCACCCTCAAAATGAGGCAATAGACATTTTACAACCATATTGTATGTAGACAGGGTAGTGTTTATATAACAAACCATCTATTGGGTTTAATTAAAGCTCGTGGCCTAGCCAATACCCCCCTGAACATATACTTGAGATCAACTCTTCTAAAACCAAGATCTTAATTTTTGAAAAGCAACCTAAAGTGCATGCCTAGTGATTAAAAGACCAGATTATACACCAAATAATGTATTATATTCTCCAAATAATAGCAGCATTAAAACTTTATTTGGCCAAAACATATATGCAGCTACTGTGGCCCTAGATGTTTCTCAAGTAGTATTAAAGAGAGAGGCAGACTTGATCAACATTGACATTGGTTAACCCTTATTAAATATAGCACTAAAAGATAAAAGGACTGCTTCTAACTATTATTGAAATGGAGAAACCCTATTTACAACTAAACTGTAAACTTATATTGGAAAACAATCATGAAGCCACTGAGCAAGTATGCGCTAAAATAAAAGAGATTACTACAGAAATAAGAGTCAGAAACTTTATTACAAACCCTCAAACTGATTTCCAGACTTCAACTGATTATCCTATAGGCCAAAATACACCAGAAGAGGAATTAATCTATATTAAAGAGGAATTTATATTACCTCATAAGCATCCTATTGAGATTTCTGAGGATCAAAAGGTAACCTTAATCAAACTACATACAACTCCAAAAGTAACAGGAATTGATGTACAAACACGACTTACTGAGAACGATGATAACTTTGATAACCAACTACTAACTACTAATCATAAAATTGGATACAACTGAATGTTTTACTCAGCTGAACCAAACATTGAGACTTGAATTTCTAAAGCAACAAGGGTCTAACTACAAAGGAATCAGGCTGCTAAAACAGAGGATGGGATGTCTTCCATTGACCCAAATGACATCACAAGGAATAAAGGGAGAGTTATCTGCTGAAATAGAGGCTCTGTTATGGAAACCTGCTTGGCACAAAAAGAAAGCCAGAATAAGACTGAAAAAAGAGACTTAAAATTACATGTAATGGGTTAAAAAGGTCTTGTAGAGATACGGATTGATTTAAGGTTTAAGATTCAGATTTAGAAGCGAGAGGAAAACTCGTGATTAGTAGAATATATATGTGAAACAGAGTAAGAATGTACCTTTTGAAATAATATGTTTATTTTATGTATGAAAATTATTTTGTAATGGAACGAGAATAAGAAAATGGAAGAAGCTTCAGAGATTTGGACTGATCTAACAATTAATTGAGTATGTCAAATTAGTAAGATGATATTTTGTGTAATAATATGTGTGTTTTAGATATGATAATTATTTGGATGAGATTTAAATCCTACCTAATGGACTGAAATGATTTTGTGTTTTGTTCTGTTATAGAAATAGATTGACTGATAGACTATATATACATAGAGTAGAGTAATATTTTTATCTTAACTAGGAGAATTATTTTATAGTGGAAGAAGAAATAAGAGAGATTTGTGATAAAATTAATGATTTATTAGATTAAGAATTAGAATACATCTGGAAATATTAGAATGTTTTTGCTGGAATATTATGTGTATTTTAGAAGGGGTACCTGAAGTGTTAATAATATGTTTATTTAAGATTAAATTGGATTATGGTAATTGTAAATCAGTAAAGCTTAAAAACAGGATTTGGATCTATATAAATGTAATCTAGAAATGGATTATTTTAAATATGTTATACTATTTGAGGGAAACAGAGAGGGAACGTCTAATGTATTAATTTGAGTTATATATATATGATTTTGTTTTTGGATGATTGATTACCCCATCACCACGGTGTTTCTCGAGCTTCTTGTTGTAAAAGTTAAAAAAACCAATAAAACTTGTTTAAAAAAAAATGAGGCAGCTGAATGGATTTGCATTGGTGATACTTGTTTGAATTTAAAATTGTTTTCAGAAGGTCTGGGTTCTTTAATGGAACAATTGTGAATCCATAGGGAACAAGACAATTCTGCAAAAATGTCAGTGTCTTGTTACATTGCATTTTTATAAGAAAGCAAGTGCTCATCTTATAACTCTATCCGTGCACTTCTATTTGTTCTATGTTTGCTTCTATTATAAAACCAATAGCAGTTTCTATGAACATGGTCAAATTTTGTTATCTTGTTTATAAAACAGGCATATTTTGATTGCATATATACAGAATATACAATCCTGTCATAAACTATGTTATTTTATTTTCTATCCTCTGCTGTTAATTTGTTGAGTTCCAGATCATAAAAAAAGCATGCATCATGAGATGCACCCAAATTATATCACTTATCTCTCATGACGTGTGTGCTTTTCTCAAGGCTGGTAGCAGATCCATTTGAATATGTATATTTAAATGTATAGTTTTCCTCAGAATGTGTTTCTAACCTGAAATAAAAATATTAGGAATTTTCCTTTTAGTATTAGGATGGGAAAAATAGAACACATCAGTCCTTTTTATACTTACCATTGTTGTGCGTGTGTGTGCCTTTCAGTCATTATTTGATTCCTGGTGACTGCCTGGGCAGGTCCCTGCAGTTTTCTTGGCAAGATTTTCGAAGTGGTTTATCATTGCCTGCTTCTTCCTAGGACTGGTCCAAGGTTAATCAGCTGGCTTCATGGCTAAGGCAAAATGAGAACTCACCATCTCCTGGTTTCTAGCTAGAATCCTTAACCACTGCAACAAACTGGCTCCTAATTAATTAATTAAAATATTTTTAATTAGCATTAGGAGTCTCCAAAATTGAAAAATGATATATCAGTTATCTATAATGTATGTTCGTGGCAACATGATATCAGGTATATTTTTTTTAAAAAATGTGGTAAAATATTATAAATCAATGTTTTCAAATGTTTTCAAAGTTTCAAAGGTTTTACTGGATTTTCTTCCATCTTATGAAAATAATGAGGTAAAATATGTAAGTATATCTGGGCATTTGCCAGGAATCAAAAACTGACTTGAAAGTACAAAATTAATCAGTCAAGTCTCCTAAGCCATATTTGAATAGTAAGTATATTCTACTTTGTTTTAAATAATGGTGGCATTTGGGATTGGGGAGGGGTCTAAAAAAGGCAAGATGACAATTGCACAACTGAAGGCCTGCTGCCCTTTTTTAATGTGTAAATACTGTTGAAGACTATTTGTATCACATGCATGATGCACTTCAAAAGGAAATGTGGCCATGATGTCAACCATCTTGACTATTTTTGATCCTCACTCTACAGAGGCCCTACTAATCAGCTCATATTATCAAGCTGATGTTTTCTTAAAGAAGAATAAATAAAGGTTAACTTTAAGTTGTGTTGAAAAATAAGTCTTCTTGATTGGTTAGACAATCTGCATTGGTTCTTGGCAAAACCATACATGCTGTGGCAAATATAACTAGCTTGTACAGGTCCAGATATTTAGCATTCATACCTTGAAGGCCAAGCAAGGTCTTGTAACAGTTATAAGCTATATTACTTATCTCCAGTGATTTGTTATGAAGTTGGAGCACCTAATATCTTCACCTGGAAATTTGCCCCTTTGTTTTATTTTTCTTTGTATGTTTACATATATTATTGTATGTTTACCATAATGTTGCATGTATCCAGGAGCTGTGATGGTGCAATGGTTAAAATGCAGTATTGCAAGCTAACTCTGCCCACAGCCAGGAATTCGATCCTGACTGGCTCAGGGTTGACTCAGCCTTCCATCCTTCCGAAGTTGGTAAAATGAAGACTCAAAATTGTTGGGAGCAAAGTGCTGACATTTGTAAACCACTCAGAGAGTGCTATAAAGCACTATGGAGCAATATATATGATTAAGTACTATTGCTATGTAACATTGTATGTTGAATCCCAACAGGCAGCTACATTGCCCTATTAATTAAAATAATTTAGACTTTTAGAAGTAACTTTTTCTTGGATCCAATCTTGCACTTATTTTATGTACATATTTTGACCTGTGGTCAGAACCTTTTCCCTTGAGTTCATCTACTGCAATACATGTAGCACTGACAAAGATTTTGTGGTATACTTTATATTATCATATTTGTCAGAATTAAAATAAGCAAAATTTTTCAGTTTTTTGGCCAATATGCCTATCAGAATTAAAATTGCTAAAATACATTGATGTTTTGAGTGAGATTGTTGAAATACAATTTTCCTATATGAGATTGAGATGTTGGTATTTTCATTTGCTATTTGTTTTAAATGTTTTAAATTATTTTGGGGAGATTAGTGATACTTTTTATAGACAAAGTAGGCATATTGCCATTTTTGGGCCCAGGGTTTGAACAGTATTTTGCACCCATATTACTGTAAAATGGTTTGATATGGATGTCAGGGAGATGAAAGCTCTTTCCTATTTGAGTCCCAGGGAATACTCTTAGTGCTGCATAAGTTCAGTTATCAGGAACAAAGCTAAAGTCTTAAGATAGCTCTCTCACTCACCCACTAATAGAGTAGCTGTTGATTTACCACATGATTTTCTTTTCCAATAGAGAGAATAACAGAGGTGAAAACAGACATCTATGTTACCAGTTTCGGTCCAGTTTCTGACACTGAAATGGTAGGTTGGATTGCACAGATTCTAAGTATCTCCTATTATTGCTGCTAGGATAATTTGACAAGTGGATCCTTATGAGTGTTTATGCAATTCTCTCTTTTTTATACCAGGAGTATACTATTGATGTTTTTTTCCGACAAAGCTGGAAAGATGAAAGACTTCGATTTAAAGGCCCAATGCAACGCCTCCCTCTTAACAATCTTCTGGCCAGTAAGATCTGGACCCCAGATACCTTTTTCCACAATGGCAAAAAATCCATCGCTCATAATATGACCACTCCCAACAAGCTGCTGCGCCTTGAGGATGATGGAACCTTGCTGTACACAATGAGGTGAGCCTTATGACAGCTAATGTACTTTGAATGTCATTCTACACTCTTCATAAAAGCAGGGAAAGTGCTCACAGCTACATAGAAAAATGTCCAAAATCAGTGGAAATCTCCATCACACTTTTCAGTTAGTAACTAATGTACAATGTTGAACAAAACTGGTTTTAATGAAACCTTTCCCTTTTCCCACAATACTCACCATTGATTTACAGCTTAAACTAGAAAGTTTAATTTGCTCCTGCTTTTGTACATTTTTGTTTGGGATAACTCAAATATAACTTTAGTTCAACTTAATTAATTAAAACACATGAAGTTGAACATGTGGATGAATAGATGTTTGAGCAAGTATATTTTTCAGATCCTGGTAGTTCTGGATTTTAAATATTAAATATTAAAAACTGTCGAAAGTTCTGTTTTTTAATAGTAAAAGTAAAGATTTCCCTGTCAGTCATGTCTGACTCCAGGGCGTGGTGTTCATCTCTGTTTCTTGGCTGATGGAGCCAGCATTGTCTGAAGACAATTTCCGTGGTCATGTGGCCAGCATGGCTATATGCCAAAGGCTCACAGAACACTGTTATCTTCCCACCTATTACCTATTAATCTACTTGCATTTGCATGCTTTTGAACTGCTAAGTGCGTAGGAGCTGGGGCAAGTAATGGGAATTCACCCTGTTACGTGGACGCAGGTCTTGAACCCAGGCATAATAGTAATTTAATACTATTAGTAAAAACAAGTGAAACTGAAAAAAATAAAATGAAAAAAAAATAGGTACAGAAAAGAAAGGGGAAAAGGGAGAAAAATTAGAGAAACAGAAAAAAAAGAAAACATACAAATATAGTAAAGAAAAAGAAAAGAAATATATAAAAAGGGACTTCCCATCTTCATCACAAATATGAGTAATTTTAGTAACAAACAACAAAGGACCTCTTCTTCCCATATTCCATTTCTTATCTATAAACAAATCCTTAAAGCTTCTTCGTTTCTGTCCCGATATCAGCAAAGTCCACTACTAGTGATAACACCATATCTATTTCAACCTTGATTAAATAAACCAACTTGATTTTACTTCTTACCATGTTGATTTTTAATCTGTCCAAATAATGTCTTAGAACTTAATTTCTTTTCATTTTTTCTTGTCCCTTCTTATAAAATTCTTCACAGATTTAACAAGATTATTTAATAAATCCAATATAGGAAAATTATCCCAGTCACTGTCTTGTTTTAATAATTAACAAGGATATACAAACAACAAACATCAACCAGTTTCTTTGTGTGTCCAATCTAACATCTTTTATCTGGAATATTTGTAGCTTGTTATTTTTAAATTCAGTCTTTAAAATTTGTATTAAAATAATATAATAATTTTATAATGTAAGATTAATTTAATTAATTTATAATTGGATAATAATAGAGACACCCATTTAAGTAAAGTCAGACTTGATTTTGTCAACAGGTAGAATGTATTCCCCTTCCATAACATATTTTAGACATAATCTATCTATAAAGGCAGATATTATTAAAATTAATTTCTGGGTTCATTGTTAAAAAATAACATTAAATATACCCAATGTTAAAATATTTTATTTCATTCTGTATTTGTAATTCTGGTTTGAATGCTATTTCCTTTAATTGTAATCTTTAGTTCTCCAGCATGATGGATGAAGAATCCACCATTGGGTTATTTCAGTCCTCCTGCCCAATCAGACTAAATTGTCAAAGTTGTCACACCCGTCCTTGTCTGGTACCTCCCAGTTTCAACTTAGTCTGTTCGCCCATGAGGACGTGACAATTTTGACTCCCAAATTCTGACTTCTGACAGGTTTGACTCAGGGGAAATATTTTTCCTTCTAATCCATTAGTGGATTCTTTCTTTGAAGGGAAGGGATCAGAAGCCATACAGCTTCTGTCCCACCTTCCTCTTAAAATTCCAGACTTCTGTCATCTGAACTTCAAATCTCAGGCTTCTGTCATCTGAAGCCTCCCCTAACTGTCAGCTCCTACAGGAGCTGCAGATTCCATTTTTTGGAGAACCCTTGACTGCAAATAGATCTTAGGAGCCTCGGATGGCCAGAGGCTAATTCACTTCTGTCCCAATACCCTCTAGGGCCAGTCAGGCTTCTGACAGTGAAGCCTTCATTACCTGTCAGTTTCCTAGGCTGCGGGCACCATTTTGGAGGACCGTTAAACTGACAGGAGCCTCAGAGGACGTTACAGAGCTAGCTGGACCTTCTCAGCGTGAGGGTTCAGTCTTGGTCCTATTTCTTAGGCCAACTCAGATGATTTAGGCAATGAGAGCTGGGTTGTTGGCTCCGTAAACTCTCCGCTGCTACTGGAAGGCGCCGTGGGCTCTGTGCCTCTCAGCTGACTGGCGTGGACCGCCAAGAAACCCCATCATCATTTCTAATAGCTCGAGAGGTGAGGGGGACTTTCTAACGCGTCTCCCAACATTTTTGAAGCAGAGAGTGGTCGCTTCACAGGGACAAGCAATTTTCGGCTTCTTAGACCTCAGTCTTCAAGGGTTAGCCCGCTCCCTGCCTCGGCAGCGCGATCGCCATTTTGGCACGCCGCGGGGCGACCATTCTTCTAAATTTCACAATTCTAGCCTTTAAAGGCTTAAACTTGGAGAAGGCCGTCTCCCACAGTGCCCTACAAACGGACACTAAACAGACGATTTAGAGCTGCCGGCTTCAATGCCTTGCAGCCATGGGCACTATTTGGGATTCCCTCACCCAATTACTTCTCCTTCTTGATTGCTGTGGCCACCATTTTGATCACCTAGCACAGCGTCTGGGCCTCACCCCTTATAGATTAGATCCTCAAAGTACTGTTGACAGCTTCCAATCACACTCAGAATTTTATTATCAGAAGCTAAATTCAGGACCTTCACCTACTCCCTGGTTGCAGACCAGCACCAATTATCTACTTCACAGACAATTTTTGCGTAGGCCCTTGCCACTTAGCACCCCTTCACCTTACCCATCTGCCACTCTGCATCTAGTGGTTGCTCACTATGACCTGACCATCGCCACTAAATGAGACACGTGAGATCTCGTCACCCCATGGGTCACAGGTCTGTGCATTATGGACACATTAACTTTGTCTCTTCCGCTGGTGATGAGCGCCTTGACGCGCCCAGTGTGATTCTGGCTTGGCCAATGGGTCGGACCATATCACGGTGGGTAACTGATGTCTCTTGCAGATCAAGATTGTTCCAGTGCCGCATCAGGAACTCTTCTTGTTTAACCATGGCAGACAACACTGAGCCAAGGCTTCTGCTGCTGTCAGGCAATCCAGTCAAAAATCTCCTTGTCAAGAAGCCGCGGCTAAGGGAAAGGCCAAAGCTAAGTCTAAATTTGGCAAGAGGTCAAGTAAGTCAGCTGACAAGCAGGCCTATTGCTCACACCAAGCCCTGGAGAAGCAATTCTCTCAGGCCCAACGATTGTCAGCTGGGGAAGGGCGTAAATCACCACTTCCCCCACTTGCAGCTCCCGAGATGGACCCACAATTGCTTACTTCAACATGGGCGGGGCCCCCAGAGCGAGAGTTTCAGCAGGTCTCAATACAGACCTTTGGTCAGGGAGGCCCACCCCTCTTTGGGGAGGAACTCAAGCCGCCGGGCCCCTCCACAGAACCTACAGCGACATTTACCCCAACTGCAGCAGGGCTTCGTTCTTCATAAGATCCTTCCTTTGCTGATCAGCTGCAGGCCATGATATCGCAGGCCTGATATTCATGCAATGGCCTCTTCAAGTCATCAACAATCTTCATCCCTGCCAAGATCTTCATCAGTGCCAACCGTCTCAATACGACCTGCACTGCTCGACCACCCAAATTTGACCTCGCCCCCCCCCCATTCTCCAGGATCCGACTCTACCAGCTCCTCTGATTATGACTGCACTGCAGACCAGTGGTCGGATTGCTAGGAGCCTCTGCAAGATCCTATCCCATGGCAGAGCTCTTTAACGCTTCGCTTTTTCCATCTTTACTTCGCATGGCATGTGCAGCGGGTAAGATCAACTCTGACCCTATTCGCAGAAACTTCCCATCCCAGAAACTTCCACTATCCAGGACACGAATCCGCTATTCTTGGAACCGGTAGTCTGGCGTAAGCAAATCCCCTGTCCCCCCTCCTATTCCTTAAAAATATTCAGGGACAATGGGAATCCCCAGCAGCACAACGTTCCCAGGGGGGAGCTGAACGCAAGCTAGTAGATATGGCCCCAAATTTAACAAATCTGTTGGAGGTGCCTAAAGTGGATGAATCCCTAGCCCCACTATTGTCAGCCGCCAGGTTACCAGTAGATGTCTCTGATGCCCTTAGGGCGGAGGATAAGAAATCTGAACTAGCATTTCGCAAAGCTCACCAAGCATCTGCATGGGCAGCAAAGGCGGCAACCTCCACTTCCTTTTTCGCCAGAATTTCCCTCATTTGGTTTAGACAGCTCCAGGAAAGGATCCCCCTAGAGGAGGTAAGAGTCCGCCAGGACCTGACCAAACTGATAGCAACTTCTGAGTACATGGCGGATGTGTCCTTATACGCCGCCAGGCACTCATCCCGAGCACTGGCTTCCAGCATCGTTGCACGGAGGCTGCTTTGGCTTAAGAACTGGAGGGCCAAGAGCAAACACAAATGGCGTGTGGCCACAGCTCCATTTAAGGGAGGCCGACTATATGGGGAGGCATTAACACCCTACCTGGTGGAGAACAAACAGAAACAGAAGGTTATCTCTCATTTGGCTAAGAGAGCAAATAGGCGGTTCTTTCCCTATGGCCGCCATCAGTCCTTTCATACCGGTGCAACAACAGAGGCTGGACAAACATACCGTCCCTCTACTCCCAAGTCAGACCGTCCATTTGACAGGATGAATTATAGGGACCGGCCCTGAAACCAGACCCAGAATAAGTCTTCCTTTCGAGGCAGAGGGGGTCATCCTTTCTGTCACTCCAAGTGACTTAGCAGGGACCCCCTCCATTGGTGGCAGACTCACTCTCTTCATCCACC